CACATAGGCACCCATCATGTCACATTATTCAATTCTTTTATGGTGCCGCACTATATACATATCGGGTGCTCAAGATTTGCTCCATTCTGAAGTACCCATTTTCATTGCTCATATCCTCCCTTCTTTACTTTCTTCCTTGCTGTTATGGTTTGTCTACTGGTTGGTTAAGTCCCCTCTTAAACATTTTCTTCAGGTGGGAAAACATAGGCATTAGTCTCCAGCTTCTGGCATATCTGCAAGTAGATTGCTTTCTCCCTGGTAACTGAATGGAGTTTTGACTGGTCAAGGATTTTGTGAGTTGGAGTTCTTTCCTATCAGAAGACTAGATATTATTGCACTAACTTCCAGAGATCAGATTCTGTTTGTTTCTTAATAAGATTTAATTTTTTTTTTTTTTGGTTTTTCGAGACAGGGTTTCTCTGTGGCTGTGGAGGCTGTCCTGGAACTAGCTCTTGTAGACCAGGCTGGCCTCGAACTCACAGAGATCCGCCTGCCTCTGCCTCTCAAGTGCTGGGATTAAAGGCGTGTGCCACCAACTTATTTTATTAATAATTAAATATTTTTATTTATTCATTTCAATTTTATTAATAAGATTTTAAAAAAAGATTGATTTATTATGCATAGTGTTCTGTCTGCATGTGCACCTGCAGGCCATAAGAGGGCACCACATCTCATTATAGATGGTTGTAAGCTACCATATGGTTGCTGGGAATTGAACTCAGGACCTCTAGGAAGAGCAGTCAGTGCTTTTAACATCTGAGCCATCTCACCAGTCCTATTTTTCTTAGGTGTATGAGCATCTTACCCTGCATATACATGTACCACCTGCATGCAGTACCTGAAGAAGCCAGAAGATGGCATCTTATCTTCTAGAGCTGGGGGATGCAGCTTGTATTTAAGAACCGAACTCTGGTTCTCTGAAAGTGATCAAGTGCTCTTAACTGAGGAGTCATCTTTCTATTCCCCAGGTCCTTTTGTGTATCTGCTTGGAACCCTCTACGCCACCCATACCCAGAGTTTCAGATTTTATCAGGAACTAGGGTTTGTGTTTTGAGTCATTCAGCAGTGTCTGGGATTTCTTGGTCTAAGAAATTTTCTCTATTGCAAATTTGTATCATTTCTTTTTGCCTGTCCAGATTCCCCAACATAATCCACTAAACCATTTAAGCTGCCTCCAGTCTAATCTTTGTGCTTTGAAAGATTTTCCCACGTGATCTTTTGGACCCATTAATTGGGATCTCAGTAGCGATTAAATCTCTCATTTAGGTATAAAATCAAATGTAAAAATACTTTTTAAAAAGTCACTTTTGCATCTACTTATTTGTGTGTGGGTACATGTACCACTGTGCACTTGCTGAGGTCAAAACTTGTGGGAGTGGGTTCTCTCCTTCCACCCTTTGGGTTCCCAGGGTCAGACTCAGGTCATCAGACATTGTAGCAAGTGTCTTTACCTTTTGAGCCAGCTGGCTTAGCCCTCTTTGGTTTTTGAAACAGAGTCGTATTAAAATAGTTCAGGCTCTTAAACTTGAAAACCCTCCAATTCTGTACTCTGAAGCCTGGGTTACAGGTAAACCTGGTCTTCTTGCTCCTTAGATCTAGTGTTATTTCCTTTGTAGGCTGAGTGCAGTTTGGGGGTTGCGGGTTTTGTGAAGTGCAAGTTCTGAGCTGCAGATATGGAGGGAGGGAATGTGGTAGCCTTTCTGTGGGAAGGCAAGCTGTGCACAGTGTTCTTAGAGGATGAAGAAGGGAATATGGAAGAGGGAGAGATTCAATCCTTCGTACCACTTTGGGATTCAGAAAAGCCATAACATGTGGGAGAAATCTACATATCTCTGAAATACCTTTGTCCCTTAACCTCAAGTTGTCATAGGGAGTTTTCACCAAAGCATTGCCTGTCTTCCTTGCTAGGCAACCAAGCCAGAAAGTGTATAATTTTAGGTACCCAAATCTACCACCATCAGAGACCAGGATTCAATTGTTCTAGGGATGAAGTCCTGTATCCTCCAATTTTTACACTCTCTCCTGAAGATTTTATTAAATAGCCTATTTAAGAACAGCTGTTGGGGGGGGGGGCTTTTCCTCCCTGAGGACGGAAAACTCACCTGCTTATCTGGACAATCTGGAAGTTACTGATTCATATTTTTTCATAGAGTAACACCTGGGGGTTTAAGGTTTGATCTCTTCTTTGTTGGCCGTCTGCTCAAAGCAATCTATTTTCATCTTCCCAGGACAAGGCCACTGTAGAGGAAGCCTGGGCTTTTGATCGATCACATTCAATTTAAGAATGTAGGCAACTGAATTCTCTTTTCATAAAGCTGGTGTTTAGATTCCTATTTTAACTACATGTCAATTTCTTTTTTTTTTTTTGAGACAGGGTTTCTATACATAGCTTTGTAGACCAGGTTGGCCTCGAACTCAGAGATCCCCCTGCCTCTGCTTCATGAGTACTGTGATTAAAGGTGTGGACTACCACTGCCCAGCTTAAATGTCAATTTCTAAAGTATCAGCTTAGTGTCAGGTGGACTGAATAAAGCAGGTTCCTAATGTTGTTGTAGTTGTCAACATTTCTTCTTCTCTAAGGCCCTCATTAGATTTCAAATTGTGATTACATTGAGATAATAGTGTAGACAGTAGCCCAATTAGGGTGCAGTTCCAATGCGTCTACCACGGCATGCAAAATGCAGCAGTACTCTGCAGTGGGAACTGTTTGCCTGGGAATCCAGAAGCTTAACATTAGCCACAGGGAGCCTTGAGATGAGGGGATGGGGAAGGGAAATCTAACAAAAACAAAGACTGTATCAAGAAGCCATATAGGTACTTATTATCTGGTAACTCAATTACACACTATAAAAGACTGAAGGAGATACCTTCAGCCTGACAAGGCACTGCCAGAAGCAGAGGGTTACTAAACACAGCTCCCAGTGCCAGGTGTGGGGTACTCTGTAGGAACTGGTCAGGAAGGTTCTCAAAACAATATAGTTAGTTCTCTTGATTGTTCAGTGGAATTAAGAGGATAAGGCCATTGCCTGTGGCTTTCAATGCCAGTCTGGTTTACATAACATAGCTCGTGTTCCAGACTAGCCAGGGTTATACAATGAGAACTTGTCTCAAAACAAAAACAATCCTATTGCTAAGACACACACTGGTTGCAAGATAGAGAAAACAAGCTGGGACTAAGCTGGAAACTTCTCCCTAGTGGCTGGCATTCAAAGAGTAGCAATGTGCAATGCCAGAAGCTGGGAGAAAGTCTCAAATCAGTTGTGATTCCTACCAGCTACAAAACCAATTTTTCAGGCAACACGTGCCACCTGTGCAATAGTGGCATGTCTGTTATGGGAACAATCAACCTCTCAGATTGGATTTAAGGCCCGTTTCACAGGAGTGAAACCCATGTGTAGTCAACAATTCATTCCTGGACTGGTCATAGGCCCAAGGTGTGTGGGGGCAGGGGAAGATGGGACTAGGACTACCTTCTATACCATAGATAAATGCTTTCAGCCTTAATCAGATAATCTTCCTTGCAGTGAACAGAGCTCAATGCAGACTAATGGCTGTCCAAAATGCTTACAAGTGATGACTGAGCATCTAACCCTAAACATTTATAACCTCCTAAGGCTCAGATTGCAGAGGAGGTGGCAGGAATAATGTAGGTGCAGGAAGATAGGAAGAAAAGCTATGACATGCCATACTGTAGACATGATACAACCACTGCAATCATAAAATCACAGTAGCTGCTACTACTGGCCCTGGGCCAAGGCTGCCCCATCAGTGTGCATGGGGCCCTATTTCTCACTGCTGAACTAGCTGTTACTGATAAGATTTGAGTTGCTTTCAGTTGTGTACCTACTGCTGAGCCCACCATGCTCCAACTGATAGCTCTAAATTCACAGCATGTTCATGTCAGACAGCCTTAAACTCATGAAACTGTCAAAAACAAACAGGGTCTTGTGTTTTGAATAGTTATGGCCCCCATACTCATGTGTTTGAATGCTTGGCTTATAGGGAGTGGCACTATAAGGAGACGTGGCCTTGTTGGAGAAAAGTGTGGCCTTGTTGGGGGAAGTGTGTCACTGTGGGAGTGAACTTCAAGATCTCATATTCTCAAGCTACACTCAGTGTGGTATCATCTCCTTCTGCTACCTGTAGATCACAAGATGTAGAACTCAGCTCCTTCTCCAGTACCATGTCTGCCTGCATGGCACCATGTCCTGCCATAATGGACTAAACCTCTGAAACTGTTACGTCAGCCCCAATTAAACATTTTCCTTTCTAAGAGCTGCCGTGGTCATGGCGTCTCTTCACAGCAATAGAAACCCTAAGACAGGTCTCTTGATTTTAAGCTCCCTGCCCCCTCAAGTAAATACACTTGACTTCTAGCTCCAACATGCTAAGTTAATCAATTGCTCCTGAAGTTGGAAGTGACTGTTGTGATGGCTGGGATATACGTAACCTTATATACCCTTGAATGTTCTGGCTATAGGATGCCTGCAGAGTTAGGTGGATGATGTCTCCTCCATCACTAGCTCCAACACTAGAACAGTTTTATCCAGGAAAGGTAAGAGACCAGAATGACATTTTTTTTTTCTCATCCTTTCCATTCCTTAGGCCTGTTTTTGTAAAGAACTCTTTCTAGATAATAATCAGAGATGCACAGAGTTTCTCCCATTTCAGCAATTTTGAAGCATTAGTTGGTTTGCAAATGTTGTCCTTCCCAGTCACTATTTGCCCAGCTCACAGCCAACCAAAACATTCTTCCACATTCTGGAATTCAGAACACCAGCTGCTCTAAAGAAGGGCAATATGAAGTGTGGGACCATCAAGTTAGGACTGTATCAGTATTGGATTCTGAAATAAACACAAATCAGGACTGACCTTGATTACAAGGTGATTAGAGCTTGAAGCACAGGGTAGGATGGGAAGAAGGAACTCTTATGGAGGAACACATTCTAACTCGATTTTCTCTTGTATCTAGCATGAACAATAAATGCTAACACACACACTTAATTTTTAGAGTTGTATATTCAATAATTTCCATAAACAGATAAACAGTAATATATCAAATACAGGCATTATAAAGGTTTTTCTAAATGCTTGTTTAGAATAAAATGCTGTTACAAAAACCAGAATTGGAGTCTAATAAAAACAATTTAATAAAACAAGGCACAATGTTTAAGGCAAAATTCATAAAGAAGATATATAAAGTTAATATATTTTTTCATGTCCTTTGGGTGAGGAGGCACAAGAATTTAAATAGTTTAAACATTCTTTTTAGCACAGTAGCCATTATATAAGGTTACATAAATTCGATACAATAGGACTCTGCCTTTTCCAGAAAACAAATTCCATTACTGATCTATATTCTGAGTTACATTTTAATTGTATATACCTATACAGATATTTCTAATACACAAGACTATAGGTACTGAAAATTAAAAAAGTCAGAGCATACATAATAATTTGACAAAAGTAACACCTTTTCAGCATTTTTTGTTGACATATAAAGCCCCCAACTTTGTGAAAACTAAGGCTGGTTATGTAGACAGCCTTTCTAATTATGTTCTAACAACACCGAGTGGGCTCAGAATGCAACAAACCTCAATACTAGTCTGCACATGGCTTTTAGAAAGTGCTGACCATGTGAATTGAGAACAAGGACTCTCAACCATCCAACCATGGTTCCAATAACAGCAATGCCAACTTCATCCTAGTTTCTTTCCCCAGCTGAAGTTTTGAATAACACAAGTTTATTCAATTTTTTCATGGCCAAAAGAATAAAGTATGTTCTGGTGAATGCAGAGTTTTCTGTATGTGAATAACCTTCACTAAGATACTTGATCTAATACACACATACACACACACACACACACACACACACACACAGGAGACTGAATATTACGTCAGTTATTGAAGCTAACTACTGCTGAGTAAAACTCTAGCAGCACCCATCAATATCACCTACTATGTATGTGTCTAACTTTGTGAGTTAGTGGAATGCTTCTTACTTCAATCCTTAGTAGAGATCAAGAAAAATATAAAAACAATGGTGGCACTTATTAAACTATCCCCCTTTCATCCTATAGGAAAATTGGTGGCAAAACATGCTAGTCCTCAGTGACAGTATTTTCCTAAGATGCCATAAATATGACAACAGTGGAACTTTTGCTGTCCTTTGTGATAGCATGAACATTTAAATAAAATACCATATAAAAGATACACTTTTCTACTGGGAGCAGGGTGGTGGTGCTTGACCTTTGGTTCTGTAGGGCTCTGATCTCTTGGCACAGTATGGTTAAGATTCCCCTCCCAGAAGCCCTATACACACAGTCAATGACAATACACACAGCCATCACTGACAATTTACCATATAATATACTTTTTTTTCCATACTTTGGGTTAAATGGAAGACTTTAAAGGCACTTCCAGACCACAAAGGATAGTGCTACCTACTATATTATTAAAAAGATCACACAATCCTGAAAACATAAAATTGCATGCTATTGAATTAATGTTATATAACATTAAATGCTTAATACACAGACAGTGAGAGGTAACACAACACTTCTTTTCTAAGCAAGGGAACAGAACTGTGCTACAGGTCACACTGCTTAAAGTCTACACAGTATACTTCACCACGGGAGTTACATGCTTAGTTTAATTTAAAAAGAAAATCAGCATTTTGGACTACATGGAGAGCAATACTTATAATAATGTCTACTTTTAGATGAAAGGCAAATCATTTCAGTAAATAAATGATTTAAAACTTTAAAACTAAATGCAGCTAAATCATTTTACATATATACTTTTACTGGTAAAGTCTTATCTACAAGCATGGACATGGAAACAAACATTTGTTTTTTACGTAAATAGCTACTACTAAATACTTGATTTGCAGTTTTTTAAAAAAGGCAACAAAAAGGTAAATGTTCACTAATATTACCTGCCGTATTGTAAGTCAGGCCAATAGGAACTACTTTCCAATAGGAACTCTGGGAAGAGCAAGATTGAAAGAAAGCCTACAGCTTGCTGACTCTGCTTTATAGAGAGCAATAGAACAGCCTCCAGCAACAGGGACCAATTCAATAATAACATTAGCAGTAATAAACTTAGTGATAGGTTTCTAGATGGCAGTAGGAGGCCACTTGGTAGATTAATTTTAAAACAATTTCTTATTACTCTACAGAGCTTTATTGGTTCAGGGATTTCCCTGGGTACCTATGACTTCTCTTTCCCTATCCTTTGCTGCTTTTACAGATTTGTTTTACTTAACATTACAGCAAATAGCCCCTTCTTGAGTCTTCATTTAAACCCAGTATTTCCAGTGTCTGTAAGAAATAGTCTGTAGTACTGTGCTGTACTATTAAGGATTGCCCTTTATTTTTATTTATATTGTCCCCAAATTTCTCATATTTGAAGCCCATCTACAATGTGTGTTTGTTTTTAATATTAGCAACAAAAATTCAGACATCAAGATTTTTAGACTAATCGGCACCTTTGGGACATTTCTAAGTAAAATACTGAGCTGGGCCCATGATTTACACTTGGAATTCCAGCAGCTGGGAAGCCGAGGCAAGAGCATTACAAGCAGGTTTGACTGAGCTACATAGCTAGTTCAAGGCTAGCCTGGGCTACACAGCCAGGCCCTGTCTCAGAAAATAAAATAGTTGTATTATGAAAATTAGCCCCTGTTGATTCTAAAAGTTCATTAGCTGGATAAACATAGGATTCATACCTATAGAGACAGACTACTGCTCAAAATACATCTTGCTGACTTTAGAAGATGACCATATTTCTAGATGGCCAATTCCTATCTCACTAAGTTAATGTCTATAATCAGTTTTTTTAAAAAGAAAAAATATGAAAAAATTATCAATCATTGGCAGCTCTAGTAAAGAATAAGGCCAGATATGGGTAAAAAAGAAAAAAAAATAAACAACCAAAAAAAGGTAAAACAGCTGCCAATGAAGATTTCACTAAAAGCTGACTATGCTAGGTAGGCATGAACTGTGGCTTGCTTAGCATGCATAAGACCCTGGATCTAATCCCTATAATCCCTATCTCTGCAAAAAGACAGCTGCACATTGATTTGGCACACTGTTCACAGAGCTTAACTATACACATAAAAAACCACAATAAACACTTTGCTGAAAGAATACCATAGGATATATCTATATGCCACAGGCTAGAATATTTATATTTATGAAAGATGAAACAGTATACCTTCTTTCTAGGAGGCTGGAAAGAGTATGTATGGCTAGATGCTCTATTTACAAGGCTATTTTACAAGTAATTCCTAAAAGGCTACTCAAGCTATTACTTAGGTCAAGATGACTATCAATTAAGAAAGTAGAAGTATTTAAACCAGGAGAATATGGTCCCATCAATCTGAACAATTTCCATGAAAGCACTCTATATTAACTAATGTCATCTAATTACAAAGCATTTACTTGACACTTGGATACTGCCCAAGACATCCGTGCCTTTCCTAATCTTGCAGTAGGCAGCTTATAGCTGCTCACTTGGTCAAATACAAAGACTTTATAACATCATATAATTATATTTGCAGTAGAAAACATCACTTTTATAAACACAGAAAGAAAATCACTAAATAAAAATAATTACTCTTACTACACTATTTCGAGGAAAAGGTAAGGGGACTCACTATAGCAGCGTTTCACAACTGCAGCCACGAAACTCTCGTGTTTCATGACGTAACACAAACACACACACAAACCCTGAATCACCCTATAATCTACTAATCTACTAAAATAAAAATAATATATACAAGAAACCTAACATGCAAATAGTCTCAGCATAGGGTTGGCCTCTAACAAAGCACTCTTTAAGAGAGCACCTGACACCCTAATGCAATCTCAAAGTAGCTTTAGCACTTACCAACCAGCCTTTATGCTACTACAGGTTGGTTAGTTAATCATCAGTAGTGACTTAGATATTTTCTGATGCCAACTTAGTTTTAATAATAGTTTTTATTGCATAATCAACTACTTAGTAAAATTTGTTATTTCCAATGACAATAATCTGTTACTATTTTTCTCCTACACCATAAAGACACAGGGTTTTAATGATTTCATTCCCGTTTTATCAATACTTCTTTCTTAGTGTTCAATGGTTAAACCAACTTCGTGAACTATTCTATTGTGGATGAACATAACGAGCTCTATTCTGACTACTTTCAACTGTCATGTTATCTAATTGTAGTTTTTCTTTCAAATGCAGAGAATGTTTTGGTTTAGTATACAACACAAGCATAGGAGACACGTTTGACAGTTAAAATCCTCCCCATCCCCACTCTGAAACAAGTTTTCATGTATATAGCTTAGGCTGGCCTTAACTTCACTGTGGTGCCTAGGCTAACTTTGAATTCCTGATCTTCTGCCTCTACCTCCCAAGTGCTGGTTTGGAGGTATGCACAACCATGTCCAACTTTCCCTCATTAAGTCCAATGTTATAAAGCAGCTTTTCTTAGATTACTCGCCATCTAGACTTTTCTGTCAAGAACAATTATTCTGTCTTTTGGAAAATAGATGGATCACGACTGTAGCCTCCCATAAATGTGAAAGCCACACTTACAAGAGATCATTGCAGTTAACAAATTGAAGATGGCCATGGAAATAGGTTGTGGTGCACACCTTTACTGCCAGCACAAGGGGGTGGAGGCAGGTGGATCTCTGAGTTCCTGGCCAGTCCATTCTACATAAAGAGTTCCAGGCCCACAGTCCTTGGGTGTTATCTATATAGTTGTTTACCTAGTCTGTTAAAGCACGTTTCCAAGTGTTTTGCATATTGTCAGGTTGTAGGTTGCTCTGAAATAATTTCTAGAATAAGCTTCCATATCCTTGCTAGGATTAAGGCACTGTAACACATCACAGCTAGATTGCATAAAGTCAGTAACAACCACACAAAACAAGAGCTGAAGTTCATATATTCCATTTAAAAGTGATGGTTCTTACTGTACTGGTTAGTTGGTTGGAAAGGCTCAACCCAGGGTGACACAAGGAGAAGGCTCATTCTATTTATGGCATAGTGTTCAGCACAAACCAGGACAATTCTGGTAGTACAACTGCCATGACGTCTTACTTGAGTCAACCCAACTGCCCCAGGTAACACCACTCCAGGCAGATTATAACTGCTCCTCAGAGTGTACCATTTTGCTAGTGTTTCATCAAAGACTTAATTAAAAATTGTGACCAACCAGCTGAATTTTGAACTGCCATTCAGAATAAACTACACTCAAAGAATCTAAATATGGAATTGGACTCGATCTAGTTGAATGGACAGATGGAATGCAAAATCTTTCACGCCACTGCAACTCTTCCACAGACATTCAAGATGAAAACACGAAGGTTTCCAATCATCTTCAAGCTCCATTTTCTTTTATAATCACCTTTGCTTAGTTTTAGTATTTTTCAACACCCACTGCTGGTCAACCAAGAAGAACCTTCTGCATTCTGTGTGCAGCAACGCTGGCTTCATCTTCTGAGTCAGACTCACTCTGGGATGTGGAGCTGTGTGTGGCAGAGCTGCAGGGGGAAGAACATTCTGGAGAACACAAATAGTGCATCAGGGGGAGACGATACTTCCCACAGAAGTCCACAAACTTAATTTGTCTGACACAGCAGTCAAAATAGACTCCTAGAGAAAAGAAGAACATAAGAAGTCAATAAAAGCAAAGCTAAGACCCAGAGTTTTTTCCTAGAGAGACATTACATCTCAAGCTCTCTTTGGGAATCTTAAGCAGAAGTATTCCAGCAATCCCTTCTCACAGCACAGTGTAGAGAAGTAATGGACGACCTCCCAGGTGGCAATCTGATTGCTAAGAGAAGGCAAGGAGGGCTGCTGAGATGGTTCAGCAGTCAGGTGCTTCTGCCAACCAGAGTTTGATTCCCAGAATCTACACAGGGAAGAGAAAGAACTGATTCCTACAAGTCTTCCTTTGTAAGCTGTGACACAATTCATTAATATTCTCAATCATTCATCCTCCCCCTCTAAATGTAAACAAACAAGACAATATATCTGAAGGGAGACAGCCAAGAAAGGACAGGACAGTTTAGCATACTTATTTTCTGTGAGTTACTTGGGGGCCAGTGTCTTAGATTACAGGGTATGTGAAGTGTCCTTGTTCTACACCCGCTTGTCAGTTACTGGCACTGTCCTGCAGTCAGAAGACTAAACAAACAGTTCCTTTAATAGCGATTAAGGAAGTAATTACCATACAAGAATTTGTAGAAAGGAGATAGCTGTTAGCATCCATTCTTATTTTTTGATCTCTTATAGCCCAAGCTGCCCTTGAAACTCTAGTCTGGCCTTGAACTCCTGATCTTCCTGCCTCCACCTCTCCCAAGGGTTTAGGATTGACACATGTGCACCATCAGTTTGTCAGAGCAAAACTGACAAACAAAATGTCATCTTACATTTATGCAGGCTCTATATCTCTGGGCTGCAAAGCCAATGATCTCATTTAGTGAATACCCACCCAAAAACAAAAACAGTAAAAATTGGTATTTCCTGCAAATTAAAAGGGACTCTGAGATATCATCTTACACCCATCACAATGGATAAGATCAAAAACAATGATGACAGCTTATGTTGGAGAGGATGTGGAGTAAGGGAAACACTCCTCCATTGCTGGTGGGAGTGCAAACTTGTACAGCCACTATGGAAAATTGGGAATCAATTTACCTCAAGACCTAGCAAAACCACTCCTGGGCATATACACAAAGGATGCACAATCATACCACAAGGACATTTACTCAAATAGTCGCTATTTGTAATAACCAGAAACTAGAAACAACTTAGCTTCTTAAACCCTGTCTTTATCTTGTAACACTCTCAGAAATGTAATTTTTGTTTTCTTTTTACCTGTAAAATAATCTTAAGACAAGATGACACTTTTTAGGGAAATTCTTTCTTACCAGGCTTTGATATCATTATGCAACATTTTCTTGGTGTTTACACTTATCTTCATACCAGTGCCTTTCTATACTCATTAAAAACAGACTTATGTAAAAGTAGTATTTGCCGCCCAATGCTGTAAGTGCGAATCCTGGAGCATGAAGTTAAAGAATATAAAGTCCTTTTACATCCAGAAATGGGCACACATCTCTAAGTGCACCCTGACTGTATCTGATACATGAATAGTGAATCTTCAAATAAACATGGAAGAACTGCTTGTACTTCTTTGTGTTTCCTTTCATTTTATCATTGTACTTTCCTCATAATGCTCCAAGACAGGATGAGATTTCCTGAGTATTTTCCTTGTGTTTGAAGTAAAAATTAGTATGAAAATAATTTTTAAGAAGGAAGGAGGCTCAGGGGGTAGTAACCACCTTTGTGTGAAAGAAACTTTAGCTAATTAAAACAACACAACATTAAATTTTAAACATAGCTAAGTGCGTGAAAAAGGCCAACATTCTATTCACTTACCGCCACACTTTGGGTTTGGGCAATTGCTGGCTGAACCCAAGTATCTTAGGAGATTCCCAGGAAGATCATAAGGAGTGTAAGAAATACTTCGGATCTTAATGGTCCTTGCAGCTAATTCCAGAAGTGTTGGAGGGTCATATGTCAAATCTCTAACAAAACGAACAACCAGTGGATTTCCTCGCAAACTCAACTCTTCCAGATGAATAAGGTTGAGGATCTCTCGAGGCAGGTATGTCAGCAAGTTATTGTGGAGACTGAGAGAACGAAGTGAATGCAACCTGGAATGAACACGACACAGAAGCCATGTTCACAGAAAGTGAAGGCAATGGATGAGTGAAACAGCTTAGAAAATCACAGTTACATACATGTCTAAATGTACACAAACACAGCTATGTGTGTATATACAGTGTTTGAGCCTCCCATATAAATGAACAATTAGGACTGAGATCAATAGATGAAAATTTAAAGTGTCTAAAACCAACTCAGAATAGTTTTATAAATGCTATCAAAACTTTCTTTCTGGGATCTTAAGAATACTTAAAACACAAAGTATTCTGATGTCCCAGCTGAGATAAATGATAGATTTAAAGACACTAGAGGGCATATTTTAGCACCTACAAAAGATTTCAGGAATGCCATCAATAACGACCTTTTTTATTATAAAGTCACATATGGACAGGAGTTTGCTTAACATCAAATGCAAATTGCCAAATTCCTCAAGAAAGCTATGCCAAATTACTATTCTGTAAAGCCTCTGCCTTGCATAACAACCTGAGTTCAAGGCCCAGTATCAATCTGAAAATGCCAGTTAAAAATATCAGGTGTCTCAGAGGCAGCTCCCTGGGCCTTCTGTCCAACAAGTCTGGCCTAATTGGTGAACTCTCCAGGCCAATGAGACCCCATCTCAAAGGAAGTGAATGGCATGCAGGTCATCCTCTGCCTCTACATGAGCATACACAACTATACCTACCTGCATGCATACACATACATGCAGGCACACATAGACACACATAGAGTGAGGTGAGCAAATACTTTGAGGAATAAACCAGAACAATGAAATAAAATTAAAAATTACTCAGTTCATAACAAGCTGCTGAGCTACTAAGCACGACTTTTTTTAAGCATACCTATTTCTTTCTTTGCCTTTTTTTGAATCAAGGTCTTACTATGTATCCCAAGTTGGTCTTAAACTTACAAATATCCTGTCTCGGCCTCCACAGTGCTGAGATTATTGGCATACTCTTTATTTTTTTCAATATATAAAGCACGAAGAGAGTTTCAGACAGTGATTCCTAACCAGATGGTTGTATCTATAAACCGAGACTACTCACTGTGAAAGCTGAGGAGGCACACTTTGGATTTTGTTGTCACATAACACCAAGTAATTCAGAGAAGGTAGATTTGCTAATTCTGGTGGGATTTCTTTAATGAAGTTTCCTCCAAGGTATAAGCACTCTAAACTGCAAAAGCAAATTTTAAAAACGCAAATAAATACAAGTTGGTCAAGATACCTCATTGTCTCTACTACAATGGACACATTTCATCTACTCATTCACCACATGTTTTACTCAGGATCTGCTTTAAACTAGTCAGTGGTTCTTAACCTTCCTAATGCTACAGCCCCTTAATCCAGTTCCTCATGTTGTAGTGACCCTCAACCATAGCTTATTTTCATCGATACAGCGTAACTGTATGAATTGTATTGTAAATATCTGATATACAATTGATCTTAGGCTACCCCTGTGAAAGGGTCATTTGACCCCAAAGAAGTTGCAACCCACAGGTTGAGAAATACTGTACTAGGCAGTCTCCAGAAAGTAAATGCAAAACAATGCATGATTAAACCACCAAAACTTTTTCAGTTCAGGGACACTAGAAAAGAATAGGAAGGATCCCAGCAGCTCTCACTGGAAAAGCTTCCCCAGCTGGGCTACAAAGTTAGTCCTTAGACAGAGAAAAAGAGATTTCAGGCTGGGTGGTGGTGGCACATGCCTTTAACTCCAGCACTCTGAAGGCAGAGACAGGCAGATCTCTTTGAGTTCAAGGTCACCCTGGTCTACAAAGTGAGTTCCAAGACAGCCAGGGCTACACAGACAAACCCTATCTCATAAAACAAAACAAAAGAAAACAAATACAAAACAAAACAGAGGGAAGAGAGAAAATAGAAGATTTTGGGTAGAGGAGGGGGCTTTAAAGACTCAATGGGCACACCTGTTAATAAAAGAGACTTTTTCCTGAAGAACCCAGACAAGGCTGGAGATGCTAGATTAGAAACACCCTGCAATTCCATGCTGGCATGCTTGTGTTTGACTCATTCACTAACAGGTAATCGGAAAACCAATAGTCCTGCCCTCTGTCAGAAAACTGTCTCCACTCTCTGATTTTCAGACAAGCTTTATTTGGTAGAGTATAAACAAGATATCACCACAGAAAACCATATACGAAGTTTCTTTTCTCTTAATAAAGCAAATACATTCTTCAGAGTTAAAGTTCTGGTTTGCTAACAAAATAACATCTTCAAAGTAGGATGTATAAGTAACAAGATATAATGCCATTCTCTGATGATTGTAGAAAGGCTCTTTGTAAAGGATTTTTTTCAGGGAGGTGACAGTCAGCTCCTATAATATTCATAAAAATAAAAACGAACACACACAATGTATTTGCAATTTTCCCACTGTTATGTCTGGTTTTGTTATTCATTCAGAACTATCATTCTTTCAAAGACTTCCACATAAACACAAGTAAAAATAGCAAAACACCAGCTTTAAAGTGGGGAAGAAACATGCTACGATAGTTACCCAAAACAGGCATTATTTTGGTGGGCCCTTTATTTTTTGCCCGTATGTGTGCAATTGTGCATGCGTGTGGAAGCCAGAGTGGACATGCGTGTCTTCCTCAATGACTCTCATATATGAGGCAGTCTCTTCCTTTGAGCCCAGAGATGGCAGGTCTGCCTGCTCAGCACCCTCTTTGGTGATCTATCTCTACCTCAGATCATATTCCCTTGACAATACTTTTTCTGAAAATAATTTGATGGTGTAATTTGATTCTGTACTTTTCACCTACAGATCTGCAATTTTTTAATTAGTGAAATTTAGTATCATCTCTATGTTTCTGGTTATTTGCATATCCTCAGAGTATTTCCTGTTTATACCATTTGCCCATTTCCTCATGGGTTGGACAGTTTCCATGACTTTGTTGAGAGCTCTGTTGTTAAATCCGTGTTCTGCATAACTTTGTTCCTTTGTGTGACCTACTTTTGCTTGTTTCAGATGTATTACAAGAATTCATGCTGCCTTTGTAAGAGGAGCAATTCAGAAGCTGTGTTTTGTCATCGGCTTTCTCACTGGATGCTCATCTCCACAGTGTTCCCTTTAGAGGCCTGTTACTTTTTGCTCCTGATACACAACAGCTACACTGCAGATACAACTAGTTTTTGACTCCTAAAACTTCCTGTTGGAGTGTTACTTAATTTATGTAGTGCTTCTCTTTGTTCCTTTAAATCTATTTTGATCTGAAACCCACTTCCCCTGATTATTAATACTGCTTCCAACTTTTGCTGCTGCTGTTAGCATTTATTTCATTCAATTCCACTACTTACTGTCATAAAAATTAGGGTCAGTTACTCGCTGCTTATTAAAGATAGCATAAAATACCTAGTCAACAAATATGAACACCTACCATATGCCAAGCACCATTTCAGGGACTATAGTGTCAATCATTCAAGGAGTTGATGAGGCATGTATCTTAGAGCAGATAGTACTTTAAGAAAAAATGGAGTCAGCCGGGCGTTGGTGGCGCACGCCTTTAATCCCAGCACTCGGGAGGCAGAGGCAGGCGGATCTCTGTGAGTTCGAGACCAGCCTGACTACCAATCGAGTTCCAGGACAGCCTCCAAAGCCACAGAGAAACCCTGTCTCGAAAAAAAAAAAAAAAACCAAAAAAAAAAAAAAAAAGAAAAAATGGAGTCAATCAGAAAGTAATGGGAGATGACTCTACATGGGTAGCTTTCTTTCTGTCTCTTTTTTTGGGAGGTGGGGTGGGGTGGGGGGTAGGTGTTCAAGACAGTCTCTGTAGCTTTAGAACCTGTCTTGGAACTCTCTGTAGACCAGGCTGGCCTTGAACTCAGAGATATGCCTGCCTGCCTCTGCCTCCCGAGTCCTGGGATTAAAGGTGTGCATCACCACTGCTCAGAGGGCTTTCTCTTAAGAGACTTTGAAATGTGAGCAGAGCTGAGTGAGTTGACTATGAGCCCCAGAAGGAAAGCGGTCAGTGCAAGGCACAGCTGTAGCACAGCTGGTGTGGGGAGATCAGACTGAGATGGAAATGAAGCAGTCAGAACTCAGTAGTCAATAAATAACCTGGGATGGTCGGATCACAAAGCCAGGTAGCATTTTGAATTTTATCCTAGGTATGATGGGGTGAATTTTAATATTTAATTTTGTGTTTATTTACAGGCATGCACATGTATGTGTGGTGTTCAGAGAAGCCAGAAGTCACTGGATCCCCTGGAGCTGGAGTTACAGGCAGTTCTGAGCCGCCTGACCTGGGTGATGGGAACCTAACTCCAACCATTTCTAGGATGACTCTCAACTGGTAGATGGGTTTTAAATGAAAGCTGGTTGCGTCATTTTACAGTTTAGCAAGAGAATCACAATTAGCTGGATGAATGTGTGTGACTGGAACCTCACTGGGTGTTCGGTGTAATTCAGATGAGAAGCAATACAGTTGCCAAGAACAGCTTCTCATTTTTAACTTACTAGTGTTTTTAAGTACCTCTCATGCACAAACAAGGAACAACTTGTTTGCTCTGTGAGGGTGTAGGTTCTGCAATGATCTCAGCATATTGTATCCCTGTGGTTCTGCCTTTTCTTTCTTGCATAGTTTCCTTTCTTTCATTTATTTCCCCTTGATGTTCTGAGCCATATATGCTACTTCCATTATGCTGGCAGATGTCCTTCAATTTCCTTCCACATCTGGCCTCATTATCACATCAGTCACTATTACTACTACTGCTCCTTTGTAGCCGACTTTCTCTTTAGCAGCTGTGATGGTCATCTGTAGTGGCTCTTAGGTGTTCATGTTGTGAATGCTTGGTTCCCAGTTGGTGGAAGTGGGTGGCGACCTCTGGAAGTTATGCTCCTTCATTAGTTCTGGCTATCTCCCATGTTAATAGCCAACCTCTGCTACACATTCCTGCACGAACTGAGCTGCTTCCCATGCCTTCCAACCACAAGGCTGACACTGTCTGAAACTGTGAGTCAGTTCTTTCCTTAAGTGGCTTCTGTCAGGGATTTCGCTCCAGTGAGGCAAAACAGTCATCAAGGAAGTTACTAAGTAATTCACAGGCAGATAGGAATACAGAGTAGGTAAGGTAGATGAGGTGAACCAGGGAGCAGCGAGCAAGGTGGAATCCAAGGACTGGATATTCCCTGTGGAATGAAGGCCCATTCAGGTTTTGGATGGGGCAATTTGATTTCCTCATGAAACTCAGAATGGGCTGCAACTTAAGAATTAGGAAATGTTTATTTTTGGAATTCTGCGTGTAATATTTCTGGGCCACAGTTAATTGTGAGTAACTGAAAGTCAGTAAGGAAATCCATGAATAGATACAGGAGACAACTGTGTATTTTTTTTCTAAGAATTTTACTTGTGTTTTTCATACATGCCCATTCTAAAACTTCTCTTACTGTTCCATGGAAAAGTTTCTTCCTTTCCTTCTCCAAGTTAGGAAACACACTTAGGGCCTTCCCACCCCTCTTTACAGGAGTAAACCAACCACTTTCTGATTAGATTTAAGGCCTCTTCTATAAAATGGAACCCATATCTGACATTGTTACTGGTGTTAAAAAAAAAACAAAAAACTGTGATTAGGTATGGCATAGGCCCTAGGTGAGAACCAACTATTATTCCACCAAATGGACACAGCATTAAAACACTTCTAATGACCTACTGCTGTACAGAGACAAGTACATTTCTCCATCATCAGAAAAGCTTCTTCTTGAAGTAGACAGCAACTAGTACAGAGACCTACACCTGCTCAGAATGCAGAGAATAAGAAACTGAGGAGTGCTCGGCCCTAAGTGACATGTGCTTTACATTCCAGAGCCCCAAGGCTCAGGGATCCTCAAATAAAGAGGGGTGGGAAGGCTCTAAGCGCCAGAGGTGGTGGATAACATCAAGAAAGCAGTATTTCTTAGACACGAGAGAGCTGTTGCACATATTAACTCACAGTAATTTTGATAGCATGCAAAAGACCTGTGCAAGCTCAACCCACACAAAATCCAAGCATGGAGTAGAGGATGTTGACAGGAAGTCCCACCAGTAGCTGAGAAATTACTTAGGCATTGATAGCTGCTGGGGGGTGGGGGTGAGTCAATTTTCTTTAATAGTGTAATAACTCCAGTAGGCTAACCACACTCCAGGACAGGCCCTACAACCAAGAGTAGCAGGGTAACATCTACTGTGGGTTTAAGAGAAAAACAACAACAAAGGACAAAATGAAAAAGAAAGACAACTTGAAGTTGAGTAAGTAGGGAGGTAGTATCAAACCTAGGAATAGTCAAAATACACTGTATGAAATTAAAGAAAGTCAATGTAAGGTTTTAAATGGGGAAAGGGCATTATTTGAATTTCAGCACATTTTTCTACTTATCATCTTGCTGAGTTATCTCATTCCTAAAATAGCTACTGTAAACTAGCTTTAACATTCCAGAGATTAATTTTTAGCTTTTGTCTTGCCACAATCCTCATATACTTATCTTTGAAAACTACACTGAGCGTCACACCAAGGGAAGGTCACTAAAAAATAGGACACTGATTTTTAAAAAGATCAGAAAAGACGCAGGAAGCTCACTTGATTCAGACTCAGGCTCCCCAGTTTGTTTCTGAACTGAGAGGAATAAAACCTAAGTTCATCAGAAGAAATGTCAAAGTGTGAATCATTCCTACCTCTCAGCATTGCAAACAACAAGCAGAGTTCAGACACATTTAAGGCCCAGGAAATCCTGGAGAAGCCAATGGCACATTATGCCAAGCTATGTTTGTTATTCCTTCCTGGAATGGTGACAGGTGGAGAAAGGGAAATTTTTGTGGACCATATGCTTTGTGTAATTTTTAAAAACTGTTCTTCTTGACTGTTCTTTAAAAGGACAATCTTCTTCATGTGTCAAAATATTAGACTTGGCACAAGAAGTGGCTCTTGCCTGGCATGTGGAAGGTCACACGGTCCGCCCTCAGCCCCGGGAAGGGAGAAGAGCAGCATAGCAGCATACCACAGTACACAGTGCATGCCAGGTTTACAATGAGGAGAATTTACAGATTTTCCAAGAACATGGTGTTCAAGAGCTACTGTAGGGTTCAAGTGACTATAATACCATTTCTCTCCATTTTCCAGCGTTTCAGGACAGTTAGCAGTCTTTGAGAACTGAACCACTGAGCTCTATCACTGGGGCCATGATTTGGCTCCAAGCAACTCATTCACATGAAATCTCAGCTTTCTCATCCAAGAAAAGAAGGAAATGAACTAGGTCATGGTTGAAGCTGCTTCTTTCCCTAGGAGTACAATTCTGCATGACCCCATTGGTCTGCAACCAGCTAAAACTCATTTTTCTAACCCTTTGCTGATTCCGATATAGGCATGAACAACAAAAATCACCATGCAAAAAGTCCCACATTTCATCAAGTCAAAGACATAATGACTAACAACCTTGAGTAGCAGTTGTCAGGTCAGAAATCAAGTCAACCAGGTATAAATGACCTGAAGTGGTTCTCTGGATCACATGTGCCAACACAACAGGTCCTAGTCCTACCTGGCCACTGTGGAAAACCATGGATTTGGTATCAAAGACCCTAGGTCAAACCCAGTCCTACTACTTAAAGGCTTGGTTTGTGATCTTGAGAGTTCCTTTCTCTGAGTTTGTATCTACCTCTAAAAACAGAGTACCTCATCTTAGACTCATAGAGAATGTCACAGCACCTATGGCATTGCCTATTTTCAAGGTTTCCATACATGGAATTTTGCCTACTTCTTTTTTCATGTGGAGATAATACTCTCCCCAGGTTACTCTTAATATGCTGGAATTGAAATGAAAAGGCTGGATCACATGATCTTACAATTAAAAGGAAACAAAGCCTATCAAATTAACATAAATCTCTCCTTAGCTGTCCTACAGCCTATCTTTTCATAGCACTCTTGTAGACCATCATCTCTACTCTACTATCATGACCTCCTAAGCAGACTCAAAATTCCCCTATGCCTTCAGCCTCTCCTCAGGAAGAAGACACATGTGCACGCAGAATGCAACCCACACTCTACAGAAGCCCTCAAACTGTGAGGCCATCTCAGCGGCCCCAGTTTTTATCTGTCACTTCCTAGCACAATGCTCCTCTTTCACCAGTTTGGCCATTACTCTCCTCCTTGCTTCCTGGCTCCCACATACACTCTTCCCTTTACTTGGACTGATTCCAGGGGCTCACACTCTAGTTAATATGCACTGGTACTTCCTTCAAAGGCCTGACTCAAATGCAAATCCAGACCCCAAACATGTCAAATCCCCATGATTCTGTCTCGAGGTCCTCTCACATCCCAGGATTTATTTCTAAGCACTGTAACTTAATAAGGAAGTCCATAAATCTTTAGCATCTCTACCCTGTGCTAATACAATTTGTTAGATCCAGGACACGCTCACCATGTCGCTCCAGAGCCTAAGGGAATGTTAGACACACCAAGTACTCTGCAAACATCTATCAAGGGGCAAATTAAAGGACATGGTGCCCAGACTGCTCATTCAGCAAATAGGACACTTTAAGTGAGTGATCTGCCTAAGGCTGAGACATTAATTTTTACTGCCAGGTCAATGCTTTCCCTGTTAACTCAAAGGTTCTTTCCTGTTCCACATTCTTTTATCTTGGCTAATCCAATAAAGGAGCTGAAAATATTTAACAAACAGATACTTCTCTGTTGCTGTTTTACTTCCAACTCCCCTGCAGGGCACCCTACAGAACTTTCAGTACCCTTTTTCTGTATGTCCTCATTCCGTTAAATTCTACATTGTTGAATAAATAACCTACTAGGTGAGGTAGACGATTCCTGTAAGAAGAAATGATAGTCAATCAGATAAATACAATAGTGGAATGAATTAGACAAAGAGGAGTTTGTCTGTAATTACAATTGTCCAGGGAACAGGAAAGGGAACACAAGTCAGGCTGTCGTGTCCCAGGCAGAGGCAGGGAGATCTCTGAGTCCGAGGCCAGTCTGGTCTACAGAGTAAGTTCAGGTCAGCCAGGGCTACACAGGGAAACTCTTGTCTGGAAGACTCACTCCCACTCCCACCTCCACCACCACCACCCCAAAAAAGGAGAAAGGAATCCTAGAAGTGACTCCTAAGGTAAGATTCTGAAGTGTGAATAAGTTCCCCAGGGTCAAAGGAAGCCCCCTGTGAAGAGACCTCGTGCCCACCCAACCCACAATTTAGTAGTGACAAGCTGCCTCTTCTATACGGTGTTGAAGTGCAATGTTCACTAACTCCACAAATGGTACTTCGACTATCGCGAAAGACAAGAGGGGGATGGACACAAAATGAAAAGGCAGAGAAGTAGATCAGAGCCATGTTAAAGGCCACGCACTGTAAGAAGTCGACCACCTCCGTTAATGGGTGCCCCCTTCGCTTCCTCTCTAGACTCAATGAAGGAGAAGCCGGGTTTGGAGGCGCTTGTCTTCAATACTGTACCTTGGAAGGAAGAGGCAGGCGGATCTCTCTGAGTTCGAGGCCAGCCCGGGCTACAGAGCCAGTACCAGAGCTCACTGTGTGTGTGGGGGGGGGTAAAAAGAAAAAAGGACACAGCTAAACTGTCTCGAAGATCTGCGCAGGCCAAACACAACGCAAACGCCATGACCCACTTCATCTCAGTTCTGGGCTGGCGATGGCCGGGCAGTCCTCGCCTCCAACTAGGTGCCACCTCCCTGCTCTCCACCCCGGCCGCCCCCGGCCCGCAGCCTCTCACCGCTGCAAGTTCTCGATCTCGGCGGGGATGCTCTGCAGCTGGTTGCCGCCCAGGCTGAGGGTCTGCAGCGCGCGCAGCTCCAGCAGCGAGGCGGGCACCTCCTGGAAGCAGTTGCCGCTGAGGTTGAGCACCTGGAGGCTGCGACAGAGCGGCGACTGGGCCAGGCCCTTGGGCAGCGAGCCCGGGCCGCCGAGCCGGTTGTTCCTGGCCAGCAGCGTGCGCAGGCCGCTCAGAGTCAGCAGCTCGGGTCCCAGCGCCGTGAGCGCGTTCCCGCTCACGTCCAGGAGCTGGAGGTGCGGGAAGCCGCTGCCCAGGGCCCGCGGCAGCGACGTCAGGCGGTTGTAGGGCAGCAGCAGCCGCAGCAGCGCCTCCCGCGAGCCCCGCCGCTCCTCGGCGCGCGCCTCCAGCTCCGACTCGAGCGTCTCGGCGGACACGCTGAGGCGGGACCAGTTGAGCTCCGCGTCTCCGATTGCGGCCTCCTCCATCCTGCCCGAATCCCAGGCCGCCGCCGCGGCTCGCCCCGGAACCTGAAGCGAGCGCCGCGTCGGAAGTGGCGCGGCCCCGAGGGCCGCCTGCCGCTCACCCCGAACGCCCGCCCGTGTCACGAGATGCCCAGCGCCGAGTCGGGTGCGCGCGCAGCTCGGGGGCGGGCTCCGGCTCACGTGGCGCACGGCGCGGCGTCCGCTGTGGGCGAGTGGAGACCCGAGGTTCCCGGGGGTCGTCCTGACCCGGGCGGGCGCCGCCTCGAGAGGCTCCAGGTGCGGCGAGCAGCAGGGCGAGCGGAAGCCCGTGGCTCCCTGGAGCCCGCTGCGCGCCCTTTATAGTCGGGCGACCGCGGCCTTGGCCGCCTGAGTAAACAGTTCCGAGGACCTGCGCGTCACGGGGCGCCGCCTCCTTTGTTCTCCCTTGAGACCAGTTCCCCAAATCTGTGGGATCGGGAGAGCGCAGCCATGACGGGAATTGAGAATTACTGAGGCTGCAGAAGAACCGGCCTGGTGGTGCACGTCTCTAGTCTCAGGACTGAAATGTAGAGGCAGGTGTATTGAGTTCGAGGCCAGCCCGTCGTCCTACGTGGTGTAGGACAAAGCCCTCTTCGAAGCTAAGGACAAAATCGAGAGATTTAATCTGAGTGCAATTGCCCCATCTGGGAAACATGTTTAAGGACCTTCCCTACTTTCCCTCCAGGGTTTTTTCTTTTTGTCTTTGTGATAGCGGTGTGTGAGTGCCCAGCCAGCTGCTGAGGACTGGACAGCAGCTCCCGCAGTGCAGGCCACTGAATGGTCCTGAGCTGCTCTGCAGACACCCAAGCAAAGAGGAAAACATGGAAGGAAAATAAAGTTCCAACAAACTGTCAAAAAAAAAAAAAGTAATGTGTGTCGAATAAGAACTTTGTCCAAGGCAACCGCACAATCACTGGCATGGGCTTTGGTCTGCTCTTGTGGGTGGGATGAGTTTGGGAGTTGGATTGAGGAGGTCCCTTGACTTGAGCTAGTTTAGATTGAGCTTAGTTTGAGAAAGTGCTCAGAGTCACTGCAAGTGAGAACCAGAGTTTAATTAGGGGAAACTCTTGAATCAGGCTCTAATTTAGTAATTCCAGTTCGTATATTTTCATCTTTATTTCAATTTCCGTCTTTTCTGAAATTATGCTTTGTATCTTACAGCCATTAATGGAATTGAGAAAAATACTTAGTTTTGTTTTTTCTGTGCTTACAGACAAGAAAGTTACAGGGTTCTGTGTAACCAGTGGTATTAAACTGCTTTCTTCCCAAAATAAATAAATAAATAAATAAATAAATAAATAAATAAATAAATAAAATTGTCGTCAGTCATGTAGATGAGAGACTTGAGACTTACACTTCTTCATAGCTAAACTTTATGACTGAGTTGTCATAGGAGGATATGGCTTTGTCAGTTTAACAATCTATGGGTGGAATTAAAAAAGAAAAGAAAAAGACTGCCAGGCATAGTAAGGCAGAGGCAGGAGGGTCTCTCTGAGTATGAGGCCAGCCTGGTCTACAGAGTTTCAGAACTGACAGAATAACATGGAGAGACTATGTCTTAAAAATAAAATTTGTGCTATGCCTTTAAACCCAGCATAAGCAGGCAGATCTCTGAGTTCAAGGACCAGCCTGATCTACGGAATGAGTTCCAGGATAGCCAGGGCTACACAGAAAAACCATATCTAGAAAAACAAAAACAAAACCTGCAAGTGTCTTACAGGCATATGATTTGAAAGTTTCTTTGTTAAAATGGACCTTATTTCAGATCAAACTAACATTATAGAAGTAGCTCTACTGTAGTCATCAAACATACTTAATGCAATTTCATGCTTTAAAAATATGTATCCTTGATTAAAAAAACAATAATGTAAAATAAAAAATGTGATTTTGAAAAAGAGCTAAGATTACACATAAGATAATGGGGAAGGGCTGGAGAGATGGCTCAGCCGTTAAAGGCTAGGCTCACAACCAAAAAAAGATAATGGGGAAAATTATCTCAATAGTAGAAAATGAAGCTATGAAGAAAGTTTTGAATAGAACAGAAACTAATTTTTTTACATAAACAGTGAAGGAAAGAGGGTATAAAACAGAACTTTAGCAAAGAAATGTGAAAACTAACAAATTTTAAGTATACTGCTTGCAGAACTGACTAATGTATGACCTATTTTAATAAAGATTTGAGCTATTTATTTATTTGTTGAATTTAGGATAGAAACTATGTTCTAAAAGTTGAACACAGTATTATTTTTGAAAGTTATAACAAGAAAAGTATACATATCAGTGTAAACGATGTATCTCTTCAATTAGAATAGGTTTCCATATAGAAAAGCTCTTTATTTTCATTTTTAACCGCTGAGCCATCTCTCCAGTCCCTTTCATATTTGTGCACTGGGTAATATTCAACTCCCTATTATGGCAAGTATGATTAATTTTTATGTTAATGTATTAAGTAATGGGTTTCTTCATGACTTTTTTGTTTGTTTGTTTTTGTTTTTTGAGACAGGGTTTCTCTGTATTGTTTTGGAGCCTGTCCTGGAACTCGATTGATAGACCAGGCTGACCTTGAACTTACAGAGATCCACCTGCCTCTGCCTCCCGAGTGCTGGGATTAAAGGCATGTGCCACCAATGCCCGACACTTCATGACTTTTTAATACATGTATATCATTGTATTTTCCTCCTTCAATCCACCATCATCACCTTCCCTGACCACTCCAAACTATCTCCCTTTGCTTTCATGTTATGTATGCATATGAGGGCATACAATATTTGTCTATTTCCCCTTTCCCTCCCCTTTAAAACAAAGCCTTCTAATCCTTCCTCTCATGCCTTTTACACACACACACACACACACACACACACATCTATATATGTATCTTATCTACATATGGAGGAGATTGATTTTAAAATAGATTCATATATGAGAGAAAACATGCGACATTTGTCTTTCTGAGTCTGATTTATTTTGGTTTACATGATAATCTCTAGCCTATTTTTTTCTTTTTGTTGTTGTTGTTTGAGGGAGGTTGTTTGTTTGTTTGCTAGCTTGCTTGGTTTTTCAAGACATGGCTTCTCGTGTAACAGCCTTGGCTGTCCTGGAACTCATAGAGATTTGCCTGCCTCTGCTTCCTAAATTCTGGGATTAAAGGTGTTTTCCAGAACACCTGACTGGGCTATCCATTTTTAACAGGTGTAACTTTTTAAGTTTATGTTTATTTTGTATTCATTGGTGTTTTGCCTGTGTGTATGTCTGTGTGAGGGTATCAGAAGTCCTGGAACTGGAGTTACAGACAATTGTGAGTTGTCATGTGGGTGCTGGGAATTGAACCTGGGTCTTCTGAAAGAGCAGCAGAAATTCTAAATTGCTGAGTCATTGATCCAGCCCTCAGTGTAATTTCCTTTAGATAATTTTCACTGACTAGACTAGTGTGTCTGACTTACCTGGTTGAATTTTTTTAAGCTTTTAGGTTCTATTGAAAGGTCCTGCTGGGAACATCTTCATTTATGAGTGTATCCCCAGCCCCCACAGTGCCTAAGCTTTTGAGTAGCAGTATATTTATAAATACTTTTAGTTGAAAGAGGAGTGACATTTATAAAGCACCCAGATTGATCAAGAACTTGACATTTAGTTTGAATTTCCACATCAGATAAATTACATTTCAAACAGCCTGTAAATTTGACGTAATTTATTAATAGGAGCTTTTGGCTCCACTTTAAAGGGGAGGAACCCTGAACTGAGAAATAAAGAGTAAATGCCTTGTATGACATAGATAGTGACAAGCATAGTAGAAATTTAGCATCATGTCTGTGTGACTCCAAAGTCCATGACCTTTAAATTATGACACATTGATTCACTGAACCTAGTCTAGTGTCCTTTTTTTTTCTTGTTCAGAATGATAAGATTGTTCAAATAGTGAGAAGATGGAATTTCAAAAGGCATCTACCCACTGTGGCATTTCAAAAATCCTGTGATTGTTGGAGTTATAGAACATTGGTTGAGACTGGAGGTTTTGTGGGCATGAGACATACAACCAGAGTGACCACTTAGTTGGAAACAAAATCTGAGGTGCTGTGCTTTTTTTGTTATGTGACAGTACTTCAGGATCACAGGCCTGGTGGATGCTGAGCAAGACAAGCCCATCTGTAGACTATCAGAAATCTGTCATTTGTAGGACACTGCCCAGGTGAAGAGAATCAGAAGTGTGTACCTGTGTGTATTCGTTCAGTTCTTACTCTCTTGCAGGAGAATCCAGGGAATCCAGAGGAAAATCATAGGAACAGACTAGAAAGAGACAGAGAGTGCCAATATTTTTGCCAGTTGTAAAACCTATGCGAATAGGGTTATTGTTGCCTAGCAGATGAAGGTCAAATGCTCAGATGGGCACACAGGGTTCTGCATTATTTCCGCTGAGGAATCATTTTCACTTTGCCTTATCTACTTACTCCAAGATGGATTAAAGTTTTTTCAATCACTGCAGTTCAATTCTTAAAAAATAAAATTGTAGCCGGGCGTTGGTGGCGCACGCCTTTAATCCCAGCACTCGGGAGGCAGAGGCAGGCGGATCTCTGTGAGTTCGAGGCCAGCCTGGTCTACCGAGTGAGTTCCAGGACAGCCTCCAAAACAATACAGAGAAACCCTGTCTCGAAAAAAAAAGTGCTATCAAAGATTCCACAATACTCATACCCACCTAGGAAAGCTAAAATAAAATGACGATTACTGCTGGTGCATATGTGAATAACAGTAGCCCTCATAGGCTGATGATGGGAATGAAAACTGGTGTAGTCACTTTGGAAACCAACCCATCTGGATGGTGTGAAAAGGTTTAAAACTGGAGTTGCCATCTGACTCAGCAATCCCTCTCTCAGATACATACCAAAGAGAAAAATGGAAAACCCATCACAAGCATGTACACACAAATGTTTGCAGCAACATTATTCATCACAGTGTGTGGGGGGGTGCTGTTGGATTAACCCCAAATCCCTAAACTGATAGAGGATAGATGGAATGTGGTGGATTCATACAGTGGAACACACTGTTCAGCAACACAAATAAAAGAAATGTCAATATGTTTTACACGGACAACTCTTGAAGACATGATGCTAAACTCTGCAAAAGAAGCCCACCATAAATGAACACACAGTGTGTGGTCCTGCATGACTTCCAGCTGGAGGCTCCTGAAGGTTTGGCATCCTGTTATCTGCCCTGCTATAAAGACTCCATTGAACAACAGATGGGCTCACTCACACCCTGGTACACAGTTCACCTTGGCCATTCTAATGATCAAGATGCAGATCAAGATTAAGGTGGCGCACACCTTTAATCCTAGCACTTGGGAGGCAGAAACAGGTGGAGATCTGTGAGTTCAAGGCCAGCCTGGTCTACCCATCTAGTTCCAAGATGGCCAGGGCTATACAAAGGAACCCTGTCTCAAAAATCAAAACAAACAAACAGACAAAAAGAACTTTCCATTACTGAAATTGTGGGTTAATGGGTGAAGCTTCAATAGGACACAAAATATTCTTACCAACAAGAAGAGGAAATTTTGTTCACTGTTTTCTGGACCCTCATTCTCTGTACCACAGTAAGTGTATAAAATCTGCTATTGTTTCACTTATAGTCTTTGTCATAATGTAAGAGAAAAGGTCACTAATTCAGAAATATGCAACAAAAACACTAGAATTGCCCTCCCATCACCCTGAAATAATCCCGGTTATTATTATTATGATACATTTATTTTCTTCCTCCATGAGCACATATTTCCCCTCACAAGGTTGACACCATATACCATGTTATCATGTGCATATAAAGTCTCATACTTTGTTTTTTTTTAGCAAAACCTCCCACATGCATTTTATTAGTCCTCAAATTTTTGATTAAAAAAAATGAGTGCAGAATAATTACCCAGCAGAGGTTTAGAGTTTTCTTTTTAGTTCTCAGCATAATTACACTTTGAAAGATTTATTCAGTTAACGACTATGACTGAAAAATATCATCTCACAGTTCTTTACTGAGCATCTGTGGCAGCAGGTTGGTAATAGCAGTTCTCTGAGCCATCTCCCTGAGGACAGCCACAAAACTATCCCTTCAAAGATGTGCTGGCTCCGCCTCACTTGCTTTTGAGCTGGCTGATCGGAGAAACCAGCTGGCAAACAGGTAAGCTCTTTGCCTAAAGAGACTGTCTATTTGGGAGGAATTGGTGGCCAGTAAAGCGATTCACGGCGTGACTAAAGTTTTGAGCTGTCCATGCCAACTGTGTCTAGTCCCTTCGTGCTCATGTTGCCGCAGCCATGCTTCATGGACATCTCTGTGTTTTTTCTGCAAATCAGACATCAAGAAGGTGTAACTACTTGAGGCAAGGCCTGGCTTCATGGCTGGAATTTTCTATCTTAGGATAATTTATTCTCATTATTATTAATTCATAAATCTCTTTGTTTTTGAAGTTGGAGGGCAGGTTGTTGTCCCCCCCCTTTATACAGTGAAACGTTGTAAAAATCTTAAGCCAGATGCATTTAATTCTATTAATGCTTACTGGATTTAAAATATATAGACTACTCTGATAGATATCTAGTCCTGTTCTTGAGAAGTGAGCAGCCCAGTAAAGCTGTAGTTAAATATGAATGTAAACATCTATAAGACAAAGTAGATAAGTTGAGGGTGACTTTAATATTCTTTTCTGTTAGAATTATTTTTACATTAATCCCGTGTTGCTGTTAGGACCATTGAAAACAAGCTTTATTCAATGTGCAAGAGTATTACACAGCAACTCAAAGGGCAGAGGGGTGGAAATTCTGTGTAACTGGGGTTGAAAGGGAATCAGGAAGGCCTTGGAGTTTCTACTTTTCCTAATGATGAAAAGCTTTCATATCAGAGTTGACAAAATTTTATTGAGTTATAAAACACATATTGTAGTTTTAGAACCTGTTCTCCATGACATTTATTTCTTTCCTCTATTAACTACAATAGCACCAGTGGCTGTCATTGGTCATATTACCCCTTAAGTTTCTATTAATTTAGGTCTGGTTTCAAAATATTTTGCGGCATCTTCTGTGGAGAGACATTTGACACATAGCACTTACAATGTATCATAAGTAGCACTGGAATAGAGGTGGGATTTTCCCCTACTTAAAAATAATAGGAAAGACTTTATGCTGGGAGTAAATCATTTTCTTTCATTTGTTTGAAATAGAGATAAAGAACACATGGAAAAATAACTGCCTAAGGTATGATTTGTGCAATAAAAGCATGCTTAGGGTGCAGAAGGAATGACTAACAGCCTGTGAGGGGAGAAGGACTTTAAGAGGGCCGCCTCAAACAGTTTGTGGGGGGGGCATGATGTCAGGAGTGATACAGACAATGATGGGGGTGTGCTGGGGTGAGGGGGGTGGTTCCATGATATTGGGATGTATTAATAGAAACAGCCTGGGAAGTAGTGGCACACACCTTTAATCCCAGCACTCCGGAAGCAGAGGCAGGTGGATCTCTGAGTTTTTGGTCAGCCTGGTCTACAGAGAAAGTCCCAAGACAGCCAGGGCTACACAGAGAAACCTTGTCTCCAGAAACCAAACAACAAACAAACAAAACAAGACAGAAAAAGAAATGAGACCAAGTGGGAGATTGGATTCAGTTTGAATGTTGTGCCTTTATCTGCATACCTATGTACTAGTGTGTTAGAACTCCTTGAAGTGGAAGTGCGCTGCCGTTCAGATGACATTGGCACATGGAGAACAGGTTATGGGAGCCTCTGTCAGCCAAGGGCACTTCTGCCAGGTCTGGAGGGTAGATGTGGTACTGATGAAGACCCCACACATACTCAGTGGCTGTGGCTATGCGGCTCAGATTATCTCTTAGCTGAAGCAAACTTCTGCCTTTGTGTTCTTCACAGAATGGCTTTCTTTCTAATGTGGGTCAACCTACTTCTGCTTCATTATGGTGCAGGTGAGTCTGTTTTCAAAAACTCGGTATTTTGGAAAGATAGTGAGGACAATGATATAGAGATAAGAAGCAAAACCAACCAACCAGCAAAACGCCAGTCAAGCAAATGATTGAATCTCTTCAAATCTCAGTCTTGTTATTTGTTAAATGTGAAAAGCAAATATTTATTTGCCTTACAAAATGTGGTGAGATGTGTGGGAGAACATATCATACGTTTTGTAATATTAATTCTATCTGTTCTAACAAGAAACCCCTCCCTCTAAATTAGGTGTGTCCATTCGAAGCCATAGTCACGTGACTAACCTAATCCCCATATCGATTGCAAACTCCCCAACAAAACAGAAAAGACACCCAGAACCCCCACCTTCAAGTGAAATTTTATAGTGTCAGAATATTTGAAATCAGCCCTGCCCTAAAAAAATCTGCATGGTCATAATTTAACTTTTTGTGCTCAAGTCTGCAACAATGTTGGCAATTCGTCAGGTGCAGATCTTGAATTGTTAATATAATTGAGCTAACCTGAAGCATATAATGGAGGGTTTCTAAAAAGATACTGTGCATACAAGCCCACAATATAACTGCTCCACACAGTGACCAAACACATCATAGTCCTCAGGGACATGCCATCTCACAGGAACCCACAGTAATTCTCATCTCCCATGGGCAGCAACAGTTTGAGGGTATCCCTAGTTCCTAGAGATAACCCACAAGTTAGTGCAAGTCTTGGTCCACTGGTGATATTTCTTGGCTCTTTTCACTTGATAATTAATGGTGTGTGTGTGTGGGGGTAAAAGGCAAAATGAGTTAACAGTCATACTAAAAGTGCTACTAAAATATTAAAAAGAACGTGGATGAGAAAGAGGAAGGTTCATCTCTTAGTACCTCTCTAGTATACCAACGTGGTATGACATACCAGGTGCTATTGCAATGTGTTAGACACCCATCATATTTTTGTACAATTTTCGAAGAATTTTTGTACAATTTTAGCTTTTTAGTGCTTTTCTTGTCTTGGTCTTTTAGACCTGGGGGATCTAAAGACAGCAGCCTAACAGTTTGAAAAAGATGCAGGGTAAATTTAGACAGGAGTGGGGTCTTGTGCAGACACAATGGTTAGAGACTCTGTGTGTGTGTGTGTGTGTGTGTGTGTAAAAAAGGCAAAGTGAGTTAACAGTCACTCATACTAAAAGTGCTACTAAAACATCCAGCCTTAGCCGACTGTGTTGCTCTTACATTCCAGAGTGTGAAGCCTTTCCTTCCAAGGCCATAAAAGGTGCAGCTGTAGCAAGAGCTCGGAGGCTGAACCCTGGATGATAAAACCAATGATCCATCTTTGTAAACTACACATTCTGATGAGAGAGATCAGAATGAGTGCAGCTACACACAGCTGGTCTCTTCCTTGTGTCCCTCTGGAAGATGACTGAGTCGTGTCACACAAAAACAGTCACTAAAACCCCAAGGGGTTTCACAATCACCTGGAGCAGGTGGTGTCCTCATTATATATACAGAAATAAACTCAGAGAGATGAAGTCGCCTGAAGCCACATGATTAGTCAGAGGTTACTTAGCTCTAGAGTTTGGATTTGTAATTTTTCAGACCAGGACTTTAGAAACTGCTTTCTAAAAACATGTAAATCTATCCCTCCAATCGTGACATAAAAGCTGTTTCTTCCTACATTGTCCCTTCTATCTTGCCTTTCTTTGTATTCATTCATCTAGTTCCTTCATAGTTGATTTGCTGCCCAACTTTAGGAAGAGTGACTATTTGCTGAAAGAGCACATTTCAGATGGAGAGCTTTGGAACCAGAGTTACAAGACTCAGCAGAGTCTACTACTGCTCACAAAGTGAACTGTGTGTCCCCGAACACTCCACCTCCTGGTATTAGATAGCATCTGCTTCAGTGTAGTCTGCACATGAAGGTTAAATCCAGAAAAGAAAGATCTTCCAATATGTTTAGCATATTCTAAACACAAAATAAATGTAAGCTGATAAGCTGATAGAGTCAGGGTTCCGTAGTGTGCGCATGAGTGTAAACACACACACACACACACACACACACACACACACACAGGTGGTGGGTCTCAATCTGAATCCAAAGACCTGAGACCCAAGAGGAGCCCATGTCTCACTTCAGGTATGAGGGCATGAAAAAGATTGCCTAAGCATTTTAGCAGGTATTCTTATTGCTGGTAGGACAGTCAGCTGGTGTTGCTCTGTTCCAGATTCAGATAGCATGGAAGGGTATCTGAGTTACTGAAGTCTATTCTTTCCGTTGTTAGGCTAACACAAAATGCTCCCATAGACACCCATAGTAACATTTTACCAAATATTTGACAGCCCTGTCAGCAGCCATCGGGTCCCTGCATGCTGGTTGGCAGATTGTGCCTTCTGTTCTCTGCTGGATGTTTGTCTGTCTGCACTTTGCTGATGGTTTGGAAGCTTTCCTGCCCACTTAATGCGATACCCAGAGTTGCTGTTAGTGCTTAACTTACTTTTCTTCTATTGTGTCATAATTTTTGTATCAAGCAGTGCCCTCACTGAAATCCATTCACCAATTCTTCCTACCTTTTGTGGCATGGCATCTCTTTAGAGACAGACAGACAGACAGACAGACACACACACACACACACATACACACACACACACACACACACACATACAGAGAGAGAGAGCCCCCCACTGCTATAGTCTTCACCTGTTGCTGGTGGCGACCTCTGGGTGGGTTCTGGGGGAAATAGTTGAAAACATTCAGTCAGGTGATCTGTCAACCTTCAGCTGTCACATGCCAGGGGTCTACACCATGCCAAGAATCCATGAGATCTATATAGTCCAGGACCACAGTATCAGGCCCCTGGTGAGAACTCTGTCCAGGCTGGGAGGTATTTGTGGCAGGTAGAATAGGTTAGTTTGCTGAAAGATTTTCACATATAAACATCTTTCCACCATTCCAATGTGCCTTCCTGGGTTACTGAAGTGCAGAACAAAGAACGTTCTCAAGAATGTTTCGACGTTAAGGTTCTGGGAGTGACGCCTGCCCTGTCAGTCAGAGATGTTTACATAAGGGCTGAGCAGGCAGCTGACTGAGGGATGGAAGGGTTACGGTGCACAGTACATGTGGCAGGTTTCTTTTGCCAGGGTCAATCTGGCAAGAACAGCTTGAGTTTGGAGCCAACACATGAGCAACACAGCTCCCTGACAGGTCCTCCTGACAGACCCACTTTGCTGTGTCATTCTGAGTCTAGCAGAATTCAGGGCAGACAAATCTTCCATTCACATCTTTGGACTCACCTCTCTGGCCTTCTAGTGATTCTATAACTGACCAGTCCCCTCCAGTAAACCCTTCTCTGTCTCGTCTGCTGCCGTGGTCATCGGCCTTGACTAATTTCATCTCTTCTTTGACCGTCCAGGGTCAGCAGAAGAGGTACGGGCGCACCCGTTCACTGATGTGACCCTCGACTGTGAGTTCTCCTTTATAGAGAGCACAGAAAACCTTGAGTTTTACTGGGAAAGGGAAGACATAATAGAGGAATATGAAGTGGAAGACCGTGAATTTTACCGCTTTTTCAAGTACTACGATTTCTTTCAAGTGTACACGAAGGTGGTTTACCAGTTCTATGACAATGCAGAGCAACTTGAGGAACAGAATGCCTTGTATGAGGGAAGGGTCTCTGTGGATCAGAACGAGATTTCTGAGGGCATCCTGTCCCTTCAGCTGCGGAACGTGGATTTCATGGATGAAGCTGTGTACAAGTGCTCGGCTGTTGCCCCCAACGGCAGAGGCGAGAATAAGGTCAAGCTTATAGTGGAAGGTAAAGCCACCTGGCTTCAAGTTTGGCCTCTGTTCATAAGCTCCTCATTTTCTCTCTTGGTGGTCTCATTTTTTCTAACTCAGATTACTTTATTCCTATCGTAAGAGTAGTGGGTTAACAATTTGCTTTAGCTGAAACTGTTCCCCTGAAGCAAAGGTGCTACATCTATACCAGTACACATCACTCACTCATTGATATGAATGAACTGAAGGGCAACCAAAGCTGTCCTGGTTGATTCCCAAATGTTACACATTGTAAATGTCCCCTACACACCACACACACACACACACACACACACACACACACACAGTCCCATAGGAAGAAGTTAAGTTCAGACACACTTTAGTGTGAATGGTGCTGAACTGGGAATCAGGAGACTGGAGTTCTAAATCTAGATGACATTGGGCAATCCATTAGCTTCTCTGGCTCTATTCTTCTCGCTCTAAAGCATAGGTTTCAGAGCTGGAGAGATGTCCCCTTAATGAAAGCACTGGTTCCATTCCCAGCATCTACATGGCAGCTCACAATCATCTGTAACTCCGGTTCCAGGGGATCCAGTCACTCTTCTGGCCTCCATGAGCATGGGGCATGTACATGGTACATAGACATATGTGAGGTTAACACACGCATACATAAAATAAGAAGTTTAAAAAAAATCTAAAAAGTAGTTTGAAAAACATTGATTGGGTTGAATCCATATTCCCCAGTACTGAGCCCTTATCCTCCAGTATTGCATGGAAAGCTGTGCCCTTTCTGACAGACAGCCCATGAGGCTGCAAGTCCTGCAAAGGCAGCCTCCCTCCAGGGTAAGAGCTGAAAGAGATTGGAAGATGGTAAGAATTCTCTCTCTCTGTCTCTCTCTCTTTCTCTCCCCCCCTCTCTCTCCCTCTCCCCCTCTCTCTGTTGTTGTTTGAGATGGGATTTTGTTTTTGTTTTTGTTTTTGTTTTTGTTTTTTGCTTTTTGAGACAGGGTTTCTCTGTGTAACATTCCTGGTTGTCCTGGAACTTGCTTTATAGACCAGGCTGGCCTTGAACTCACAGACATCTGCCTGCCTTTACCTCCCAAGTGCTGGGATTAAAGGTGTGCATCACCACTGGTTAGCAAGAAGGATCTTTTCTATGTAGGCTGGTCTGGGCCTGAACTCACAGCAATCCTCCTGGCCCAGCCTTCTGAATGGTGGGAATTATAGGCATGTGCCACCCAGCTTTATTACTTTCTTCTGTGATTTCCCCATCTAAGTACTACGTAGGCTCGACCCTGCTTAGCCTCCGAGATCAGATGAGAGTTTGTTCAGAGTGGTGTTGTCATAGACTCTTCTGTAATTCTCAATTGGGGCATCTGAGGTCAGTGGAGAATCTGGAGTGAACCCACCAAGAAGGAAAGATCCCTAAATAAAGACAGTAGCAGTAGGGGCCTAGATGGCCACATATCCTCTTTTTCTCTCACTATGCTTGGGTCAAAATTTTAGCTACAGTGAACCCCGGAACACATTGTCTCTGTTCGGGTTAGTATAAACACTGAAGGCTTCAGTCTCCTGAGACTAAAACAAACAAAAAGGAACTAATTATTTTTTTTCAACCAGATTCTGAAATGCCGCAGGTGAAGTTTGACAAGATTGACGATGAGGATGTGGTTACATGCACATCGAAGGGCTGGTACCTCACACCCAACGTGACCTGGTTAGACCGGGGAGAAAGGGACATTAGCAACCACAGCACGGTGGAGGTCCTGGAGGAGCAGATGAATGGCTTGTACAGAGTCTACTCTGTCCTCAGATATCCAGTCAAGTTAAATGAAAAATATGTCTGCCGTATTAAAGAGACAAATGAAAACAACCAGCCCATCCGATCCATCCGGCGGTACCCTAGTAAGTGCAACTCTGAGGGAAAGAGTGAGAATAGGCTACACTTTGTCACATAGAAGCCACCACTCATTAATATTTACTGAATGCCAAATGTAGCAAGCACTTCTGAGCACTTTGGGGACTTAAAGAAGCACAGGAACAGGAGCTTGTAGCCTGGAGTCAGAAATGGGAGTCCCCTGAGTTTGAAAAAAAAAACCACTATGATTCGGGGAATGACAGCTCTTATCCAGACTGAGGTGGCTGTTCTTCCCAGAGAGGCTTCTATTCCTCCGTTAGATCCTCAGGCTTCCTGATGTGACAAGCAGAGTAGTCATAGCAGCCATTCGTGAGCCACTTACCATGTGACTGAAACTTTACATATGTGTTGTGTGTGTGTGTGTGTGTGTGTGTGTGTGTCTGTGTGCACATGTGTGTTTGGGGTGCATGTGCATATATGTGCAAGTATAGAGGCCAGAGGCTGGTGTTAGCATTCTTCTTCAGCTGCTTCTCCACTTTCTTTTTTGAGATAGGTTTTCTCACTGAATCTGGAGCTCACCAATTCAGCTACAACGACTGGGCAGTGAGCCCCAGAGATCCACCTGGCTCTGCTCCCCCAGGGATGGGATTACACATGGGCACTGCTGCACCCAGTTTTTATTTGGATGCTGGAGACCCCTACTTAGGTCATATGCAGTCATGTCCCAGCCTGCATATGCTATTTCAAATCCTTAACCCAGTCCTACAAGATAGCTTGTTACTGTCCCTTTCTATATGAAGAAATTTGAACTTTAAATAATTTTGACCAAATTTTTAACTAATGAACACAAACTTTAAATTTTTGGTAACCAATAATGTTATCTATGTCAAAAACTATATATCTGAAATGCATTAGTATTATTTATCAAATTTAACTGGATTCCCTATATTTACCTGGTAAAATAGAGTAATAGAAACGTTTAGTAAGAGAAGGAAAAGTTGAAGCTCAGTGATGGTAGGGCATCCACACCTCTGGAAGAAGAAAAAGGAGACATTATAAAACTCTATATCTGGTTTAGGATGCAGGCAAGTGTGCAGGTAGTAATGCGGCAGGCCAGCAATGCTGTCACCACAGGAAACACAAGGACAGGTGGGTTCTTGGGTCCCACTGTGACCTGTGGAAAGTAAATCCTGGGGGAGACTCAGTACTGATTTTGATATGGCCTCAAAGTGATTGTGACCCACACTCAAGTCCAAGAAGCACTGGCGTGGGATGTAAGCTGTAGCAGATGGTAATGACAGCCAGAGCACCTCTTCCTCGCCTGTGTGAAGGGACAGGGCGTGGTCTCCTCAGAGCCCTTTCTAAAGAGGTGAGGGAGGCAGAGCTCCCACTGCCTTCCCTCAGCCCAGCAAAACAGGCCGAACCAGGAGACTCATGTCTTTACATTTCCCACATGAGCTGGCCTTTCCTTCAAAGGGAAAAAGGGGGGCTCACTTGTCTGCCAGACTTCTAAGTCTTTCCCACACATTCAGATGAACTTGGTGTCTGCAAACATTACAGTGGGCCTCAGACTTTCTTCTGAGAACACAAGGATACATTATTAATGAGTTGACTTCAAAAGAAATATTGTTGTTTTTATTCTCTAGCATTTCAACTCCCTTAAAATGTCCTAGAACTATCTAAAAAGCCCTCATATTTTACTTTTCTCTCTATCCTCTCATCTATTTATTTAAGCGAGACCCTTGAGATCTGGCATCTGCCTGTTTTCCCAGCCCTGCTGTGTCTCACAACAGTCATTGCTCATTGTTCTGGGCTTACCATGCCCTGAGGCTTTCGGACTGTATCTGCTTTTTGTTTGTTTTTCCACAGTGCTAAGCCTTTGTGCACACTCTGCCTATCTGGAATACCTTTTCCTTGATCTGCCTCATGAACTCCTGCCCATTCCCCAAGACGTGGCTCACACTCAGAGCCTTTCTCTTACGCTCATGTTTATTTGTTTGATATTTTGTTCATTTGCACATCAAATATTTGTTGAGTTCCAGCTCCGTGCCATATTTTCTTTGTAGGTGCTAGATACACACCAGTGAATACAATGAATTCTTACACTCTTGAAACTTTCATGCTGTTAGTGGGAAAGAAATACATAGTAAACAGATCATTAAAATGTGTTGCATGCCACCACAGAGGCCATTTACCTGAAATTCAATACCACGGCCATGGGGGTATAGGTGGTAGATCTTTTCTATGATGTGTGAAGGAAGTCAGAAAGTCAGAATAGTGGTATCTCTTGGAGTGGAGATGTAAAGAGACTAAAAGAGGATGAGGAGATTTCTAGGGTACAAGTATTATTCCACTTATTGGTGTGGGTGCTGGTTGTATAGTAGTATTCAGTTGGAAGAGATTTACATTTACACTGGTGTCGGACATGTACACACGTTTCTATATGTATTTTTCAATATAAAGGAAAACATGTATTAGATCATATGGTGAGTAGCCACATAAAGGAAAACAAAAGGCCAGAGGCAGATCAGAAAGAAGGGAGTGGGGAGGGGGAGTTGTAATGTTAGACTGTCCACAGACAGCCTACTTTCCATGTTCAGGTTCAACAAAGACTTGAACAGATATGTGGAAGCCAGACCCAGAGGTGAGCAGGAATGGTGGGTTTGAGGAGCAACACAGAGGCCAGGGGTTGGAATGGAAAGTGTTAGTGACAAGAGGGTAGGGCTTCACGCAGTAGAAAATTGAGAGTCGGCTGGCACTGTGTGGTTTCTAGTGGAGCACTGTAAGGATTTTTGCATTCTTCTCATACTGTGCGAGGAGATGCAAAGCCACTGGCAGCTTTTGAACAGAGGAATGAAGTGATGCGACTTGTGTTTTACAAAGCTTAGGCCCCTTTCTCTATCCTTTACTGGCTTTACATCCTTGTGAGTGAGGGAGATGAAGGGAACACAGTAAAGCAGGAAGAGAAGGCACAAAGAGTGAAATAAATGGAAAACCAAGAGAATGTTACCACTTGAAAACCAAGCTAAACATTTCAGAGAGGAAGGAATGTTTATGCAGAATACTACTAAAGAATCAAATAAGATGAAGATGGGGAATAGATTATTTTAGAGAGGAGAAGTTAAATAGGAATCAACTCATTAGCTGAGTGTAAGGTTAGGCATACAGTGCTGAAAAAGAGTACAAGTATTATCTAGGAAAGACCAACTAAAGAAATAGAGAAGTTTCTTTTCTTTCTCTCTTCCTTTCTGTCTTCCTTTTGTTCGTTCTTTCTTTTAGCACTAAACACACTTTTGAAGTTGATGATCATTAAATTAAAACGAGGTCACTGGGGCACCAGTGCATGTTTTTCTCCAGACTCAGTTCTTTGAGTGTAGATACACAATGGTAATAGAGTTGGGTCAACCAGATGTTGGAGTTTTGTCATGCTACATGCCAGATGGAGACAGATGGGTGTGCGGTGGTAGTACAATGATCAGCAGTAGAATCTAAGATGAAGGGAAAGATGAGGGATGGAAGTGAGGAAAGGACAGAGAAAAGGTAGTAGGTGGGTTGGGCTTGTGTCTTGGTTGTAGAACACTTGCCAAGAATTTATGTAGCCCTAGGTTCTACCTTTAATATCTCCCCAAAAGTAGTAGAGTCATTGGATTCTAGGTCCTAATGGAATTCAAGAAACTATTCAAGTTGGGGGACTTGAGATGGTGAATTGGAAAGACAGAGGCAATGATTAAAGAGTAAGAGTTTGGAAACTGAGAAAGGGAGAAGTCATAGTTATTGCCAATGACTCATCTAAGAACTAACCATGGGGAGGGTGACTAAAATAAGATGTAGGCAAAGATCTTAAAAAGAGAGGAGGTTAAGGCCCAAATGGATGGGTATATATGGGGTAATGACATTGACACCAAGAAGTAAGAGATGGAGAGCTTGCAAGAGTAGCAGCTAAATCAGAGTGATGAGAATTGCAGAAGGGTAGCAGGAGGTTGTAACATGGAAGGGTAGTGGGTGGTAATGTTGAATGATACTCAGTTGTAAGCTAGAAGTTTGTAGAGAGGTAGACAGGGAATGTCCCAGTCTGCAATCTTTCCTTATCTGGGATGATTTTTTTTCCCCAGAGCACCCTGGAATGTGATATGAATTGCTGACCTATGACATCAGCTTCCTCACCATAAGCCTCAGTTCCACACAGCTAACAGACAAGGGAGGGTCACCCTGAGGCTCTGGGCCTGTGTTGATCCTTTTCTCTTATTATCTCTAAAGTTGAGAGGAAATACTATTTTCCCTCTTCCTGTTTCCCTTTTGCTTCTCTAATTTTTCTTCAAAAATATTTGTTGAGTGAATGGATGGATGAGCTAGTAAGACCAAATTTCATCTTATAAATGGACAGCAATTAAGAAAATATACCCTTAGAGTATTTTTAGAACCCCTTTAGGGGGCTACCATTCTTAGAGAGAACAAAGAATTCATTGCTCTCGGTTTTTCCTTTCTGTGTGGCTCTAAGAATGCATTGTAGCTGAACTGCTACTAATACAAAACTAACTTTTATTTTATCTTTTTCCTTCCACCCCACTTTTTTCCTTTAGAGAAAAGGTTCGGTGAATATGAATATTAAGAGATCCAAATGCCCAAGAACCTGCCGTGCCTTTAGTCAGTGGAGTTCCTGGTTTCTCTTGTGAGTGATGTTCCTTTTGTCCTGGACACTTAATGATCATCAATTAAAAACAAGAAACAAAGAGGCAAGAAGTCCAGAGTGTTTCAGATTAAGTCCTGCATCTTTTATCCCCTTTGTCTCTTTTGTTTAAAAGATTTGTTGCATTTAATTTCATTCTCCCAACATGTTAAATTCTGAGTGAATTTCAAGTCTTCCATGCAAAAGGAAAGGAGATTAAAATCCTAGTGGGCTGGGTGTCACTTGTCAGTTTCACTGGGGTGTGTTTCAGTGGTGAACACTTGGTGAGCTCAGAGCAGAGGGAATCTGTTTCCTCTATTCAGGTTTCTGTTTCCTTTTGGTGATGGTGCTATTTGGGTACTTGACCAACTGAGAAGAGCCTAAGAGGTATTTTTCCACAAATTATCATGAATATGCTTGCTAAAATACTTTTA